TCACACTTTCATCTTTGGAGCTTTGCAGTTCTTTTATCATATGTTCCATCTCTTGAAGCGAATTATTTTTTACGCTTAATTCATTCTGTACAGTCTTTAATTGTGATTCTAAAGTTTTTACATTTTCCTCTAATTTTGATTGTAAAGTTTTCACATTACTTTCTAAAGAAATTTTTGATTCCACTATCTTAGATATTTCCTTCTCTTTCTCCTCTAATGTTCCTTGTATTTTTTTCATTTCATTTAATTTATCCGTCTGTTCCTTTTGCATGGACGCGATAGTGTCGTTAAGTTTCGAAATTTGTGCTTCATTTTGTTCAACTTCCTTTTTCATTTGACCAAGAGCGTCTTCTTTGACTTTAATCGTTTCCGTCGCAGTAACTAGTTCGTCCTTCAATTCTTTTACTTCTTTGGACATAGTATCCAACGACGTCGTAAGATTTTTATCGGTAATTTCCTTATTAACTATTAAAGCTTCATTCGTTTTTTGTAATTCTTCATACTCAACTTGCAATTGTTGAAGATTAGAATCTTTCTCCGATATCAAGGATTCTAATTTCGAACGGTTTGCTGCTTCAGCTCCTAGTTTATCCGTTAATTCTTCAATTGACCAACGATTAGCACTTTGATCTGCTTCTAATTTAGTTTTCAACTTTTGCAAAGACTTCGTTTCTTCTCGAGAAGTACTTAATTCCGTTTTCAAATCATTCATTTCCTTTTGCAGAGAAGATATTTCTTCTTCGTGTGAATGCTTTAAAGCGTCACATTGGTTTTGTAAATTAAGTATTGCTTCTTTGCTTTCTTTTATTATTTCGTTTTCGAGACGTGACGATTCCTGCAATTTTTCATTAAGTTCTTCTATAACTCGTTCGTTCTCTTTTAATATTTTGTGAAATTCTGCATTTTCTGCCACAATACCTTTAAGTTTATTAGATAATTCCGTGTTCGATTTCTTCTCCTTTTCGAATTCAGTTTTACGAGTTTGTAATTCGGAACTTTGTTCCTGTATTAGCGTATTTGCTTTGCTCAATTCTACTTCCGTGTTATGCAACTTTACTTCTAACAACTTGAGCGTACTTTCACTTTTAAATACTTTATCTTTAAACTCATCGAGCTCCTTTTCTTTTATTCGCAAATCCTCGTTGTATTTCATAAGTTGCTCCGATGAGTCAGCGGAACTATTTATTAGATTGGCAATATCGGTTTCCAATTTTTCTTTTTGAGCAGTGACTTGCGACAATTTATTTTCTACACCAGCTACCTGTTGGTTTAACTTTTCTGCATTACTTTCGAGTATTCTATGTTTACTCTCCAAATTAGTTTTAGTTTGCTCTAATAAGGTGAGCGCATTCTGTAATTCTAATGTTTTTTGCGTGAGACTTTTTATTTCTTCATCTTTATTCGCCAGAATCGATTTCAATTCAACAATATCACTTTCCAGTTTACTGAGCAATTGTGATTTTTGAGATATATTTGCATTCGCCTCCTCGATGCACTTCGCTTTCTCTTCGATTTGACCCTGATAACGTTTAGTTAATTCCTCTATTTCAGCTGCAGTGATGGAACGAAGTTCCGACAATTCTTTTTCTTTCACTTTTAGCTCTTCGCTTAATTTTTTCACTTGCGCGGAAGAACTAGCCTCGGTGACAACTAAAGACGCAAAATCTTGCTCCTAAAGTAGTAAAATATTCATTATCGCCTAATTTAATTCATATAAAAAAATACTTACCAATTTTTGTTTTTCTTGAACTATTTTGAAACTGTCGTCAGCCTTCGATTGATACTCTTGTATCTGGTTAGAAAGTAGAGTATTTTTCTCTTCCATTAATTTCAGCTTTTCGTTTAATTCTACAAATTGAAAATCGTTTGTTGTCAAAAGATCGAGGTGTTTTTATCTTGAAAACGTACCTTCTAATTTCTTTAAGGCTGCAGTTAACTCTTCATCTTTCTTCTTACTTATATCAACTTGTGTGGAAAGTTCAGTTATCAGTTTTTCAGTTTCGGATATCTTCTGATCTAGTTGCACAGAAACTTCTTTAATTTTCGAATCTTTCACATTTAACTGTTCATTGAAGGACTCTGAGAGCTTGTCGAGTTGCTTCATGTTTTCAATCTTAACGTTCTCCAAAGCAACTCTTTGCTCTTCTAGCTGTTTTTTCGATTCTATTTCCAATTCCTGTGTTTTCGCCTTAAGATTTTCCTTCTCTTCAACCATTTTTTCATACTTAGACATTAGCGATTCCTTTTCGCTTGTATTCTCCTTCTTCATGTTACTTATCGTTTTCGTGACCTGTTGCAACTGCTCTTGCAAAGCATTTTCATATTCCTTTCTCATATCTTCTATCATCATACTTTTCTCTTGCAAATCTTTTGTTGCACGTTCCAATTCTGTACGCAAACTAGATTCCGATTCTTTGTGTACCACGCTTTCCTGTTGATTTTCGTTCAGTTTTGATTCCAGCTCTTTTAATTGGGTCACATATTGTTCCATCAATTTCATCTTCTCTTGCACCTCGTTCTCAAGAGTACTCTTGCTCTCCTCCAAGATTTTGTTCCGATTCTGTAAGTCTAAAATAATTTACAGTTAAAATGGGATTGCTCGAAGTATCTATCCATGAAGAAATCTTCTTCAAAGTACCTTCAAGCTGAAGCTTGTCTTGAGCAGTGGCACTGGTGGTCTCATTACGAAGACGTGCCAGTTCCTCTTCAGTTTCAAAAAGCTTTATGCTGTCGTGTTCTAGTTGAGCAACGCGTTCCCTTTCCTCCAGTAACTGTTTTTCAAGATCTTTGATCCTATTTTCATTTACAGTATTTATCACCTAACGAGAAATGTACCTGTTTAGTATTTCGATAAATCAGTTCAGACATACATGAACTAACGTGAAGCGGATCAATATATTCATCGTTTACCGATTAGAGGTTGGTCTAGGCAAGAGTGTGATTCAAATGCAATAATGTTTCTTTGATATATGCATCAACAAGTGTAAGACATATTATTTCATTTTGCAGAACAACAATATACAACCGTGTATAATATATATCATAAAAATCGAGAAAATACAAATTTAACACAATGTGCCAACAAAGAAAAATGAAATACAATAAATAATAAATAAATAAACAAATAAATAAATAAATAAATAAAATAAATTACATTGGTATTTAAATTTCTCATACGTTGGCTTACTTAATCGTTACGCATTAATGGTCGACTGATACGTAAAGCAGAAATTGAGCGTGAAAGAAGCATTACTGGAAACAGCAATTACTTTTACAGTGCACCTGAAAGCGTGTTAATCCCGCACCTTTCTAACGAATTTCAACAGCACAACAAATATATCTATTCATTCTCTATATATAGTACAATTTAAATTTCTTTAATCTAAAGAATTTTTTTTCTTCTGCTTTTTAATATTATCCTATAATTAATTTAAACTGGCATCAAGTAATACTACCATCTTTCCAACTCTGATACTTAATGTTATATACGAATTTCGAAAATTAAATTAGTCGCGAAAGCATTGAGAAGATGACTGCGACATCACATAGCTTTTTGACAAAATTGCGATGAAATGCTAAACGACATGACTACAGTGACGATAAGAGAAGCGGTGCAGAAAAACAGCATCATCAACCCTTCCTCTGTCCCAAACGGCTGCCATCGGATACTCACACTTTGTTCACTTCTCTCTTTCTGAAAATAAACGATAAGGTTTTTGCGTTAAACCCACAGCCTGCACACAAAACACGCTTCGTGTACCTTATGAAATTTCTCATCTCTTATATTTAGTACATTTCTTTGTTTTTCTTTCTTTCGTTCAACTACAGAGACGTAAGCGGTAGCTTATACTAAATAATTCTCTGAGATATAATTGATATCTTTAAAAAATTGATACATTTATAGCTTTACCCACCACCGTTCATTATGTGTAAGCTTCTAATTCTAGAGAAAGCATTTTTTCAAACTAATCCCTACACAGTGTGAACGTTTTGTACTTCTGAGAAGCACTCAGTGTAACAGAGTATATTTCATAACAGAAAAAGGAAAACTGATGAAACAAAGTGAAACAAGGAAAACAGATAAAATAATGTACACATTGTCTTTTTATTTCACCTCGTGTTTTCGTTGGGTTAATTGAAAAATTTTAAAGAACGACTCAATCTTCTTCCTATAAATACCTAATATACTTACCCAAAGAGCTTTTATTAAGTGTTCATTTTACAACTGAGTAGTGAAGTTTAATATTGTATACCTGAATATCGTCCTTATTAACCGATTCTTCTTCGAAACGAAACAGTAGGTCTTCGCACTTCCTCTTCTCCTCTTCCAGTTGCAAAGCAAGCGCGTTCTTCTCCTCGAGCAACTTCGAGAAAGCGTTCTCCGCATCGGAGACTGTCTTTTGCATTTTCTCTCGATACTAAAAAAATGATCAAAACATCCCTCTTAGCGTTGTCGTAATACGAAATTAGCATGCAAAAAGCATATCTAACAACTACAACCTGCTCATATTCTTTTACTATTGAAATTATCGATTGCTCTGCTTGATCTGCCTGATTCGCCGCTTTCGTCACACGTTCACGTTCTAAATCTCTCTCTTTCCGGAGGAACTCGATCTCCTGCTGTTTCTCCTTCAACGTTTCCTAAAACGACGGACATGTATGTAAGAAAAATTGCGCATTGTACAATACGGAATTTATTGGAAACGTTCTATTTCACGGATTTTCTCAAGGTGTACAGAGCATCGTTACGTTTACACAAATTGTACTCTACTTTTTCTCTTTCGATTTCACGCTGACAAAAGCAAATATTTAATTATTGTCATCAAAACGTCCGCGTCTTTTCTGTACATAGTTATGCAAAAACCCTCGTTTATTCTATTCATGCTACCTCCTCCTCCTCCTCTTTGTCTTGCTAGATTTCTTTTTGCCGCCGTTCTTTAACTCTTACATTACTGGAGAACCGGTTTTTAATAAATACGAGGAAAGCGTACGAACTAAGCTCGTGTGATAAAAATGCGAGGCGCGTAGCGGTTACGGTGATATGAAAATTTGCAACTGTAATAACAACACAATTATCGCTATACATCATCGACGAGATCGTTGTGTCATCGGCTACAAATAAATCCCATACTTTATTCTCAACGTGAACTTTGTAAGCGTTTAGACGTGTACATCAATTAAAATTGCATATTTATCACACGTTTGCTTTGATGACATTTAATTAAACGAACGTAGCTTCCATACTAAACAATCAGTGTAATAAATTACTGCAACTAAACAACAGCAAATCTTTTTGTTCATAAAAAAAAAAAAAGATTACAAAAGAAATACCCATCTCTAGGTGGAAATCAGATTTGAAGGAGATTAAGAGGAACGGACGGATGATTTTATTAACATCACATACAAGTATCAAAGTACTCCTCTAAGCTACTTAAACGTCTACTGTACAACTAGCGGTAACGCACTAATAAAAATAAACGTTTAGCGTCTGCAGTGACTGAATGTAACAAATATGACAAATCTTGAAATACTCAACAGCGTGGAATTTCGTTTCAAAATTATGCCATACAAGTGGTCACAATGCGTCTGTTAATCTAATACTTCTCTGTTTGTAACACACTTTTCAACTTGTTACGCTCCTTAGTTAAAAAACAGCGGGGCTGATAATTAATCTAAGTAAATGTTAGATCATGATCTCACCTGCAGGGTGATTCGTGCAGGTGTCGACATGCGGAGACCAGGCCTCTGGAATTTTTGATGCAACAAAAAAAAAAGAAGTAAAGATACATCATGCAACAGCCATTCAGTTTAAAGCCGCAGAATTTCTCCTCCTACCATTTACCCTACTGCCTTTCTCAACGAATAAATATATATTTTCTCTATAAAAAAAGAAAAACAAAACACAAGATATAACGTCTCTGTGAACAAAATACTGTACGTTAACACAATTCTTTCTTTTTTTTCTTTTTGTTTTTATAAGCGTTCAACTAAGTTAGGTAGATCCAAAGATCAAGAATACTGAACGTCTCTTTGGATCTCGAATCAGACTATACTTGACTATGGCTAACACTCAACGAGGTTATTTGACAAGAACAGCAACAACGATAACAACAAACTATAACGCACATGTGTATATATATATGTCTATATATATATATATACCTATCGTACTAACAATGTCTATAGATACTAACAAGCTAACAATTCGCATTTCCATTCGCAGACGCGTTTCAAAGCAACCTAACAGAAACAGTGATGCTTTTTATTCATACACAAATCAGGAAAAAAAAAACGCGTTCGTTGTAGTTGTTCCAAAATAATCAGACGATGCAAAATTAGATATACCTAAATGAAACGTGTCTTTTTTTTTTCTATTTTAAACATCTTCCTTTTTCTCTGATTATTTTGAAGCAACGTACGTGTCAAACAAGGTAGACAGTCAGGAATCTGCTCTCTGAAGAGAAGATGCAAGCTGCAGGCCATCCTCCTCACTCTGGCACCGTGAATCTTACCCTCGCGGCGCTAACACCAGCCCTGGTGGCTGTGCTTGTGGTACTAGCGATGCTCGACACCGAGACCAACGACTCCCTGGAACCGGTCTTCCTCAGGGACGTGTTCAGGGCGGCGCCAGTTGGTTTATGCACCATGCACGATGACCTCTTGCTAGACGGCGACCGGCTGACCTTGTGCACGGGTGCGAACAAGCCGTATTTAGGTCGACACTCGAAGTACCTGAATAAACGCTAAACCAGTTAGCAAAGTTGTATGCAAACAGGACTAGTTAATTGATATTTTTTCTTTCTTAACACTATAATCAACTTGTGAGTTTAACAATATAAATCTTTCTCAGATGAGATTCATTTGTGTTGTATAATTTTAACAGAATTGGTAACATAACTTTTTTTTTTCTTTTTTCTAGAGGATGATATAGTAAGAATATTCATAATGAATCTCAAGGCGACTGCGTTATCTGCTTACATCTGTACTAAAAGCAATCAAGGCTATAAATACACTTAGCAACGTATCGAGCGTCAATTAATTAGACGCTGGGAGCTTTATCGAACAAACATTCCTCCCACGCTGCTTTTATAGAAACGTACGTTTCTCTGTTTTAACTAGGGCCAAAGATTTCAGTCCATCGAAATCTGGTATTATTGTAATCTCATCGTAGTGTCAATGAACTCACTGAAAAGTTTAAAGAAATATAATAAAAAGGAACGAAGTTTCATTCGTATCTGTTTGATTCATGCGCGATAAAAGCGAAAGCACGTGGAGTAAGTAAGAGTGGTGAGGGAAGTCAGAGGCGCGGTGGTGGGGGAAACGACCTTGAGAGGCCGAAATCTCTGGCCCAGACTGTAAAAAGATTCGATCATCGATGCAGACCTTCTTTCACCAACTGAACCATCGTTCTTTCCAATAGGCTCGTCGAGTTCTACGCCGCACCATTCGCCAACTGCGAACTCCGTGAGGCCCATGTACCTCAGGACACCGGTTTTGCTGCCTTGACTGGACGATACTATCACCCTCTCGCCTATCCTGAGATCCCTCTGCGACACCATGGACGACAGACTCGTCGTTGATGCGTCTGTGTGACGAGTTATAATACGCTATTTTATGACACGTGGATTTTTCGAGGTAGCATAACGCATGCAAGAAAATATACCGAGCTGTACGTTACGTAAAATAACTATGCAAAGGTTCTTCCTGTTCTAGCGATTGTAGTTAACCCTCAACTGGCTGGAAATGGGATCCTTAAGGAGTTCATGGTTTATGGTTGAATTGTTAGAAGGTTCTAAGTGCACTTTTTTTTTGAGAATTTTTCTAATTTTGAAATTTTTCATCGTTTCCACTCCGCTGGCGCCGTTACGGCGACATTCGTAATATTATTGTGCACCATAACGCCATTAGCGCTACTACGGTGACACGAGTAATTAATATGGATAATTTTTAAATGTGAAATTCAAGTCTTTTTATTTCATTAAAGATTTAAAGATTTAGTAATGAATTTTGGGCAGAGTAATCAATATTTCAATGCATCAAACGAATAGTGTTTTAGAATCATTTTCATTTCAGTTGAGAGTTAATTCAACGATACATCTACATTTATAATGTTTACAATACAAGCCATGAAAAAAAGGTGAGGAAGCGGTGCTCAATTTATTTATTAAACACACACAAGATAACGCACGGAGGTTTCACTACTACATAAATAACAAATACCTAAGAACATAGACGGTACAAGATGCAAGGTGCAGCAGACAACACTACATTATATGTTTCAGTGCGTATCAGGAAACAGAAATCCAGATAGATGCTGAGATACTATTAAACAAGATACAGCGTGCTACATGTTAGACACAGCGATAATAACAGACTACATGGTGCAACTTAACAGCGTGCAACTATACACGGTTTCGCTTAGAAGCCACAATCTACAGAGAATTTTGCAGACTTTTTCTTCCCTTATATAAGAAATACAATAATTGAAAATTTATACATCTCTCAAGTCCACAAAATTCCCCCAAAATCTACCAACAACATTCTATTTAACTCCCCCCTCTAGTCTACAACAATTCTACCAAGAGGAAGCACGAGGAAACCGCATTCGTTCGAATTCCTCTCGCATGCTTCTCGTTCCTAGCATTCGCAAACAACTTCAAGCATAATACGGACGAGGGTGTCTCTTGCAGCGATCCTTACTTAATGACGGAGACATAGATTTGCTGAGACTCCCTTTTGCGCTGTCAGGTGGCGATGTAGGCGTTTTCTGCATCAGTGAAATGGCAGAAATATCGGTCAACGGTGTCCTCGTCAATCTGGTCAGTCTAGAGAAGATTCCTTTCTTCGGTTCACATTGGAAGTATCGACATCCGGCCACGGATCCATCGTTCTTGCCTGAAGCGTCGCTTATTCGTTAATTTTTTACACACCGAAGGAGTATCTTCTCGATGGTGGTTTGGACTTACCGATAGGTTCGTCCAGAACCACACCAGCCCAGTCTCCAGGGGCGAATTGCGTTTCTCCTATGTAGGCTATGGAGCCTGATTTTGTGCCACCGACCCATACTCTGTCGCCAATTATAAAGCTGTCCGTGTCCTCGGTCAGGACCACGCTGTTATCTATATAGAAGGGCGTTTAATGGAACTGGAAAGTTCTATGCTTCGTTTTTTTTTTAATGGACAGTTGTTTTCTCTTTCTTTATTTTATTGGTTCTTTGACGTGTGATTTGAAACATTTTTTATATATATATATGAGTGGACAATGTTATAGGATGAGAAGAATGTTTCGGTGGGATGTTTATTAATGTTTGTTGGTTGATTTGAATTTCCCGTTGATTTAGCGCGCTTTTTTCTGTGATTCCAGGCTTACGTGCAACAAGCGCTACCAACTACGCGAAACTAACAGTGCTTACGGTCGATTTACAGAGAAGACGATGCAGTTGCAATTATTACGGAATGATGCAAAGGTAATCGTTCGTTTTAGTGAAGATTGGCCACGTATACAAGAATTTCAGGTCACGGGTGTGCCGATTGGAATACTCAAGGCATCACGTTTCTGGGCAAATGCCAATATAAACGGAATGCGATGTGTGCGACACAGCAATGAAGGAATTGTCGTAGCATTCCATAATGTAATAAAAAAAAATCATTCTTTATATGAAATTCTATCTTTTTTAAACCTATCTTTTCAAGTATATTTTATTATTTCAAGTTGTTTCTCCTGTGGAATATTCCATAAAAAATTCAAGGAAATTTCGAACTCGTTATTTCGTTACGGGAGGAAAACGTTAAAGGAACGAATCAAAAACAAACGTGAACCGATCGACCTTGCATTCCTTCGCGAAGTCATAACAGAACGCGCAAAGAAAAAACGGAAAAAAAAACGTGAAACGAAGCACCTACCTGATCCTCTGCGCAGGCCAGCCTCGCTTAATCGACGGCCGTGCGTTTCCCAGAGATGATCCATCTGGTCTGTGGTCATGCAAAACAACGCAAAAACAATGCAAATCATACAAGACAAAAGCATGCTTTCACGGGACAAATAAGCTTACCACTCTCGATCATGTGTCTTATCGAAGGGTTGAGAGAGTATTATAGAACACGATTAAAAAACGAAACAGCGAAGAAAAGAAAGAAAACATTATTAAATGAATGTAGCAAAGGTGACAATATACAACGGCCACGTGGTGGTAACGAAAGATTAAGATTTGTATCTTACGATCGCGTCACGCACGATAAAATAAGCTGTAATATGTTTTTTAATTGCAATTCGAAGATACGTAAGAGAGGAAGTTCATTTCCTACGGGCGAAGTTATTAGGTGGAGAGTTATGTAAAAGAGGGATAAACGGGGCGTGTTCGGGTACGAATTGATCGGCCATGTTCAACTCATGGAGCTGTAAATTTTGTGCTCGAGAGTTCTGTGAATGTACACGGTGGACCATAGGTCACTTTACCATTTGAAACATTTTAAAACATACAGTAGAAAGAAGTTATTCAATATTTATATGGTAAGACGACTTAATGGCCACCCTGTATAAGTAACTGTATAAGCTCATCCTGAAAATTGAATGTAACAAAAATAAACTATGACACAATTGAATGTTGAGTACTAATATTCTTTCACTTCTTAAAAAATTTTATCTTCCTTGCATTTTAATTCACGATAAGAGATTTGTGATTAAAAATATACATAGTTCCCTTTTTTTTTCTTCTTGTGATGTCATAACTGTCTGGACAGTAATTCAATTGCAACGTGAGTTGAAGGTATTATCTCGCCGGTTGTGATCACCGTCGACAAAAAACCAGAGAAAAATGTCGTGATTTGCGATTTAATTAACTATTCATGAGCGATCGGTGGGCGAGCGGGTGTAGTAGGTCGTTCGTGTGGGAAGAAATATCTGTTCGACGAGATCGATCTGCGATTAGAGCGAAACGATCGAACGTGAAATCGCACACATCGCGATATACATACGTATATCGACGCCATGGTCAAAGATAACTCTTCGCATAGTGTGAACGATGAATGCTCGAGATTTCAGTAACAAGTGCATCGAATGCGAACGAATAAATTACATGCATTCTTGTATGAAAATTTAAGATAACTAGAGTAGATAATTAAGATTTGTACAGAGGTTAGGAAAGTAAGCAACTGTAGTAGGAAAATGGCGGAAAACTAACCTTCCTAAAGATTGGAATAAATCTACGATAATTAATTTGTTTGATTTCCACTGTAATTAATTTGTAAGGTAACAAGGAAAAATGTCTAATATCTATTGATCCTCAAAGGCTGCGACGTAGATCTACTTTCCAAATACTATATAAAGAGCGATGCATCATCATCTAACGCTTCGAATCATTGCACGTGAGTCATTCAGAGGAAAAAAAAGAACTATTCAGAAGAAACTATGCAAGTACGAGGGCCAATTAAGTTCAGGTGAATCCTACAGAACACAACGAACGACTAAATAAAGTAAAACTTTCTCGGTGTAATCTACATTTAGCGTCGACGGAACAGTGGATAACAAGCCTACCAAAATAAACAGCAGACAGTGTCAAGCACCTTGACCGGCTGACATACGGAACGCTGGTAATTGGATCTGTGTAAATAGTCATACAATCTATGATACCTCGTCGCTCCTGGACGATCCATATGTAAACAAGGTTAATAGTGGTAGCGATACGATTACTACTACGGTCGTCAGGTAGCAATTTGTTCCTGGAATCTAATCTAATGAACGCAGCGGGTAACGAGATCCCTGTAATCTCTGTTCCAGAATCGATTTTCAATCACGCTTAACGAGTCACTCGCTGATGTATCAAATTTTTTTTTTTTTGTACTTCTCTCGGCGAGCTTGGAATCTCGGAAATCACTATTGTATGACTTGAAATTGATTCCGTATCGATGAAATATTTTTCATTACAAAAAACGTGACAGAGATTTTTATTTTAGAAATTCTTCAATGAAGATCAAGAATGTGATCCAAGGAGCCGTATCTGAATGGCGCCATAAAAGAAATTCAAGGAAAAAATAGTGGCCACTGCTGTCACATAAATATGAAACGTGCCTAAACCGATCTTCGATCTTGTCCTCCATATTTAGTCGATGGTGTCACACAGTGTTATTGAACACCATGAGACGGCCGATTACGTCAGAACGGAAGATCGTCACCTTAGACGAGCCATGATCTGTGAAGAAATGCTAATGAGGATTCGTAGAAGAAACACGGGTAAACATTTGTATGATATGTTTGCAAGTTTGGAATCGCGCAGGCGGCGACAACTTGACTGAAGAACCTCAAGAATGCGAATTAATGAGAATCGAGTAGTACACAAGTTTAGATATTGAAAGACAGGTACCATTTTAAGTGGTCTACATTGAAGACAATTAATTGCAATGACGGCTATAAACGATTCTAAATAAGAGGACGTCAGATTAGCTGTTAACCTTTCCTTTGTTAATGCCGTCAACCCTTAATTTAATACGTAGTACAATGTGACACAGCTATGTACATGGGGTGTCCTCAGCATCCCATACAAATTTTGTATCATTCTTTTGCATAATGTTTACTATTCCTCAATGTAACTACCATTGAATCATTTTATAAGCAATAACAAATAAAACTTAAGAAATATCCCATAAATAACATAATTGAGATGCTGAAAATCTCTCACTGTAAATCAAGAATTATTAACCATCTCACACCGTCAAAGGACACCCATATATATCTAGAGCTATGAATTTTTCTTCCTTCCTCGACTAACGGGGACTCTCCCTAGCGACTAATATATCAGGTATCGGGAAACCGTATCCGTTTCCACGAGTCGAAAATTGCTATCGTTACCTTGAGCTTTCCTATCGCGTTGCGACACCCGAGATGGGCCGGTAGAGGCGCGACGGTTCATGGGTGCAAGGTGGACACTGTGAAAAGTCCTGCCCGAAATGGGAAGCGCGCGTAGCACGTGGGAGGAAAGACGAAACGGTTGGAAATCGAGCGTACAATAAACACACGCGGATTGCATAACGTGGCGTGCGTCATGCGACGATGACTGCACCGAGTGCACGCGCCGCCGGTCCCTTCCTAGCTACGGTGCAACTGGATGAACCAATAAGGCAAGATAGCTGCCCTCGATGCGAGACCAAGCGCTTTTGTACGCGGCGCGCGTCTCTTTCCGCTCCGCGCGCCGTGAATAATCGAACGGGGACCTATCTGCATCTTGCGGCGGCTATTCTAGAAGAAGATCAAGGTTTAAGTTGCTGTGGATGAATGGCTACCCTTGTCGGCGTGCCTTTGAAGGAGAACAGGATGTTGGTACTCACGTGTTAGGATCTCTGGAGATGTCCTTAGGAGATGATGTTTAGGTTAGGTTGGAGAATCCAAGGAAGATTAGGGTTGCTGGACAAATTAGATTTAGAGGATCTAGAATTCTTGATTAATGTGTTAAAGGGACAGTTTTGGAAATGGAAAGACACCTGATGATTTGGAATTAGAAAAGTCCACAAAGGATGAAGATTTCAGATCCCATAGATCATTCAAATTACTGATCTAACTCTCCAATAAAATTGCAATAAATTCTATGGTGAAATTGCAATGAACACCTGATGATTTGATATTAGGAATGTCTACAATAGAAGAAAATTTCAGACCCAAAAAATAATTCAATTTACTGATCCAAACCTCAAAAAAATTGATATAAATTATTAACGAACAACACACAGAAGATCAACTTAAATTGCTCCTAATTAACAAAGAATGCAATGAAAAACAACACCAAGGATCCAATGAAAAATGACACGAATAGACCGATGAAACAATCCTATGAAACACAAACAAATTCATTGAAAAAAGCAGAATATTATTGAATGGTAAATTGATCAGTTAGTAACACGAAAATCAAGTAGGATTCACTTTACCCTTTCGCATGATCTCTTCAATGGAACAGAACGTTCACGGAACTCGATAATGATCGCAGAGTTCTTTAATGTGAAGTCGGTATATTTACCAGATCTCGGATGAGATGCGTTGCGTTGAGAGGTGATGGAACGACTCGCAAGGAGTTCGCGGGCTCGGGCTTGTAAAAGCATTCGTTCACGCTCGTCTCAGGGTCTTGTGGGCGTACTCGTTTACACCGCGTGGGGAATTAACAGACCCCCGCCGAGCTTCGAACCATTCTAACCTTTTATCTGCATCGCTTTCTTGACCGATACACACGTGTACTGGGCGTGGACAAGTGTTCGAACGCGTTCGAACAAGTTTGGTCGAATTTTAATTAATGTAAATTATAAATAAAGGTGTGCAAGTTGGCTACATTCTAAAATGGAACATTTTGTACCAACGGTGTTTGTATTTTGAATGATGTAATGAAATATAGATTATTATGACGAAATTGCTATCTTCTTGTGATAGCATTAGCTTACTGTTTTTTTTTTTTTTAACATCTATATGTTTCTGTCAAGATGCATATTGTTTTGTATGTAGATCATAAGGTACGTTACACAGTTAAGCTAATGAAACAATTGATAATATAATAAAGGTTTAAAATATGTGTAGCAGTGTAGTGTAATATGGTTGTCAAAGACTCACTCATTGATGGTCTGGGGGATGATGGTGGAACTGCTGGTCTTGGTGGTAAATTGCTGCATGGTCGACCAATTTTCGATGGTGGTCTTATTCCCGATGGCTTTGGCTCACTCATTTTATATGGATGCACTCACTGTTATGTAACACTGAAACACGAAAATATGGGTTAGTAAAATTTGGGGAAAAATTTGACAGATCGAAAAAAATATAAATTCAACGATCGAATGACAAAATTGTACATTAATATCGCGATAAAATTTCAGAAGAAAAATAACAATACACAAATTACAGTATACGAAGTATTAATGGTAAAAACTATTTTACAAGATGTAGAATTAAATGATACATATAACAATCAAATTATCATCGTAAAAACAAGTTAAATACATTTTAATGAACTATTAATTTTCACAATTTGTTAGTTGTACTATTTTGAAACGTTTTTTCGGTAACAGCTGTATCGTTATATTGCGTTCAAAATTCGTAACCGAAAAGTCGTTACAGTACGTTGAATCGAAATCGAAACTTGAATTGCGCACGCACTTACGCAAAATGCGCAACACCATAATTATCGTTTGACATTTGTTAACATATATAAAAATAGCATCTGTTACTTTTATATGCAAGAATAGAACATTTTAAAATACGATTTTTATTTGAAAACGGATATTATGACGTGAAAAAATGTCAAACGGGAAGTTAACCTCTTCGAGACTAACGCTCGTCGTTTAAAATAAAAATGCGGAGGCAACGTACCTTATTTAATTGTGACGTGATGTTTTTGCAAACAATTAATTAACATATTTTACAAGCAATAATTGTAACATCACTGTATTCACGAACAAGCACCGCAAAATACTCGTACAAATTCACACGGCAGTCAACGGAAAAGTGACAATTACTGGCGCCAGGAGCGCCGTCACGGTCTACTTGTGAATTAATTCATAATTTTCCGTCGATTTTACCCTGCATTTCTTCAACTTTAACACAATTATTTGATCGATAAATTGTTTTCACGCATTGTTTGCAATTTTTCGAGCGATTAGCGTGTATTTTACAAACACCGTTGTAGATATTTTAACCTTATAATTAATTGTTCTTTTGATTTATGTTTTTTTCCTCTTCTGAAACGGCAATTTTTACAATGATTTCAGTGTTTATATTGGTATTGCCATTTACGCTCTTTTAACTGACTTTTGGCATCAAATAATATTGGTATATACGTTTAAGGTTTCCAATATAATTATTTTTTTTTATAAAATTTTAAATAGTTTAATATGTAGATAAATTCC